CCTGCACACATGTTTGTACCACACTCAAATCACATAAATAATAAATAAGTAAAATGAATAGAGAGCACCTTGAAATGTATATAATCTTTAAAATGTTAAATACTCATCCTTCTTTATAGGTTAGATATATGATAAGACCATATTGGAATAACATTTCTTGTTGCTCCATTTGCCAAAGAAATCTAAAATTTAATACATTCTTTCTTGGCAAGGTTGTAGTGAAAACAGGTACTCTTGTAGGTTGATAAATAGTTCTTGTGAGGAGGCAGTTTATAGCACCTAACACAATTATGTAAGTGATTATCCTTTGTCTTAACCTCACATCAGAACTAGTAGTCCAGCCTGATAAATTTAGAGATGATAAAAATAGTAGCAGCGTCAGGTGTTGATAGCTCACTCCTATCATCCCAGTACTTGGAAGACAAAGGCAGGCGGATCTCTGGGTTTGAGGCCAGCCTGGTCGTCTGTGGAGTGAGTTCTAGGACAGCCAGGAATACACAGAGAAACCCTGTCTTAAAAATCAAATAGCAACAAATGCTAACTGTAGTAGTCTGTTCATTTTAGTGTTGTTGAAGATAGCAAGATTTGAAATGATGAAATGTCCACCAGTAACTATCTGGTTGCTAAAGTAGTGTTCCACATAGCCTGTACTGAGTGCTTGGAGTCATCTATAGTAAATGTGAACAGAGTACTGACAGTTTCTGTGAGCATCTGTGAAGTGATCTCTAGGGTGTATTATTAAGGAAAAGCAAGATATGTACTTTTAAGTGGATGAGGGCTATGAAATTGAATTCATATATATGGATATATAAAGCATATGTATCTACATGTATGCATACTTAACATATATATGTTTATTTTCAAAATGAAACAGTGTAAAGATAAAACAGCAATTATTATTTGGGGAGGAAAGGAAATGGGATGAAAGAAGCTGGAAGTTAAACTTCCTGTACTTGATTTCATTATTTTGAGTTTAGAATCATGTGTTTTACATATTTGCCAGAATAAATGGGAGGTGGTGTGATGGCATAGTCCAGCTACTCAGGAGGCTGAGGCAGGAGGATTGCTTTGTGTCCAGAGGTTTGAGACCAGGTCAGCCTGGGAAACATAAGTGAATAAGTAAAAAGTAAAAATAAATCTATATAAACTGAGGGGTGGTGGCACATGGCTTTAATCCCAGTACTTGGGAGATACAAGCAGACGAATCTCTGAGTCCGAGGCCAGCCTGGTCTACAGAATGGATTCCAGGACATCCAGGACTGTTACACAGAGAAACCCTGTCTCAAAAAATTAGTCAGTCAATCAATAAATAAATAAATGTGAACAAACAACTATTTGAGATGGTGACACAGTACAGCCAAAAGTTATTGTCAGGTAATCTGTACTAATGTAGTATTCATTCTTTGAGAATGTCATGCAATTTATTCTGATCATAGTCACCTCTAATTCCTCCCAGATCTACCCACCAACTTCCAACTTTCTGTCCTCTTTAAATAACCCTGTATTCACTTTGTGCCAGCTATGGAGCCGTCCACCAGAGCATGGCTGACCTATCAGGGACCACATTGTCATGAAAACTGACTCTCCTTCCCCCAGAAGCCATCGAGTTGTCATCACCTTCTCAGCTAGGAGTGGGCCTCATGAGCCCTTTCCCTACCCATGCTTTTAGGCGGAGTTTTCATTGGGACTGCCGGCTCCCCTATAATAACATGGACACTTATTAATTATGAAAGCTCGGCTGATAGCTTAGGCTTGTTTCCAACTAACTCTTATAACTTAATTTAACCCATTTCAATTAACTTACTTTCTGCCTTGTGACTTTATTACCTCATCTCTGTACTGCCCATCCTGCTTGCTCTGCATGTCCTGGATCTCCCAGTGTCTCTGCCCTTCTCCTTCCCAGTGTCCTCTGTGCCTAGAAATCCTGCCTAGTTATTGGCTATTCAGATTTTTAGTAAAGCAGTCAGAGTGACACATCTTCACAGTATACAAAAAGATGATTCCACAGCATATACTAAAATATTGACTGGCTTGATCTTGTACCAACAGCCAGAGCTCCTGTGAATTCATGAGTGCGTGTCTATATGTATATACAAATTTTTTTGACAAAGGTTTTTGCTACATACCCTTGCTGTTATCACATTTGACAATCTCTGCCTAAGCTTAGCAAGTGTTGGATCTGTAGGCATGTGCCATCATGCCCAGTTCATATGACATTTTATTCAACTATTCATGCAGATAAACTCTGGAGCTACCTCTACTTTTTGACTAATGTGAATTATGCTGCTACAAATATGTCTTGAGTTCCTGCGAATGTCTATCATTTTTAGAAATTGTCATATACAGTTCCATAGTGGACACATCAATTTATTTATCCACTGGCAATCACCAGTTACATTTCTTGCATCCATGCCAGTAGTTGTTATTTTCTGTTTTTATAACACACACACACACTTTAAGCATCCTGATAGGTATGAAAAACAACATAGCTTTCGTTTGTATCTCCCTAGTTAATTAGATGGTTGAGCATATTTTTAAATCTGCCTGTGGCTATTGCATATTCTCTTTGGAGAAGCTTGTATTCATGTCTTTTGCCTATTTTTTAAATTAATATTTTGTTAATGAAATGTAGGAGTTCTTTATATATAGTCTGTGTTTTAATCCTTTATAAAATCTACAAGTTGCAATTTCATTACATTTCATGGATGCCTTTCTAATCTCTTGATTGTATCCTTGCCTTTGATATAATCTAGAATTATCAATTTTACTTTTGTTACCTATGTTGCTTTTGGTTATATCTAAGAAATCAGTACTAAATCCTGCTTTCTTAGTATTAAAAACTTAAGTTAATTTTCATGCATAGTTAAGGGTATAGCATCATTCTTTTGTTTGTGGACCTCAAATTTCTCCAATACTAATGTTGGGGACCAAACAATCTTCATGCTCATGCTGAAACTCATTTGGCCAAATTTTCATGGGTTCATATACTATATGTATTAAGCCAGCATCACATTAATATACTTTTTATATTTTATATCAACATCACACTGACTTCGGCAGTAAGTTTCAAATCAGAAAGTTGGCCTGGTGGTGGTGGCATACACCTTTAATACCAGCATGGGAAGGGGAGAGGCAGATGGGTCTTTGTGAATTCGAGGCCAGCCTGGTCTAGAGAGCAAATTCCAGGATAACCAGAGCTGTTACACAGAGGAGCCCTGACTTAAACAAGTCAGAAAGTGGGAGAACTTCAGTCCTTTTCTTTTTTTTGAGACAGGGTTTCTCTTTGTGCTCCTGGCTGTCCTGGACCTCTATCTCTCTCTAGACCAGGCTGGCCTGGAATCGCAGAGATCCACCTGCCTCTGCCTCCCAGGTGCTGGGATTAAAGATATGCACCACTATTGCCTGGATTATAAAATTTGCATAAGCAGAAGGGGTGGTAGTAATAGCACATTTGAACTGAATGAAACACAAAACAGTCCATCAAAATTAGAGCCATGTCTCTAAAGCAGTGCATGAGAACAAACTGAGCACTAGCCACAGGGTTTCAACGTGTTTTTAAATGAGTATCACGTCTCTCAAATGTATGCAGTTTAAGCCATTATATCTCTATAAGGATGGGGTTTTTTTGTTTGCTTGTTTTCAGGTATGATAGATAGGATTCAGGCTAAAAGAGACTTGAGAAATATAGCAGCTAAATAACTTTTAGACTATGTCCTGATTCATACAAGCCAGCTACCAAAAGACATTCTGGGGCATCAGCAATGATGGTTCAGCAATTAAGAGCATTTCTTAAGTAGTACCATCTAACAAAAGCCCTGTCAGAGATGGAAAATGAAGACTGGATGAAATGACAAATTGATATCCTTACAATACAGGGAGATTGTTAGGTGAAATTACAAGCAAATATTGATAGTTAAAGCTGGGTAGTAGATACAAAGATGTTCAATAAGTTATTTTATTTTGATTTTTAATTTTCCTCTCACGTGCTCCTGTTCTTTTCTTTTCAAATCCTTGCAACACAGTGTGAGGTCTCCCTTGTTTTTTTCCCCTCTCCATTCCTTCAGCTTTTTTTCTGCCCCTGCTCAGTTTAAAATCTAATTGTGTTTAGAGTGACTGAGACAATCTCAGTTTGCCTCTGTTATCCCAGTGTGAACTCAGACTCACAAAGCATTCTGATTCTTTTGTCCAGAATCGCATCCTGCCCCAGCTCATTACTAGGTCATCCTTGCTTAGTTTCCAGGGTGTTAATTCTGATGTCACTTCCTCAAAGCCTTCCCTGGCATTCTTCCCTATTCCTAACCCATCCTCCACCATCATATGAAATGTATTCTTCAGTTTTTTCCTAGGGTCCAATGGCTCCTAAAGGCTACAGGTTCATTTCATGTCATCTTTGGGTTGTTGGTGTCTAGCACTGCTCTTTGTGACTGGCAATGTTGGATAAGTACAATTTTAGAAATTACCCGAGTTAAACCTAAACGAGCAAACACCCTTTCCTAAGATGACAGAGAATAGTGTGGGCTAAACCAGGAGTAAGTAGACTTGTTGCTCTGTCTGTTCTCACTGTATGAGAACGTAGTGCGGCCTTTGAGGTTTCTTTGCTAAGACAGTTCATATCCCTGACAGTGCTTATGGGTAGAGTACACTGGGAAAGCTCTTAGGGCAAGAGTGGGAGGGCTGGAAGGTGTAGCAGCATTGATAGCCTGGCATCATCACACAGTGCCCAGAAACAGAAGTGGCTGTAAAACATAATTTCTCACCAAATGCACTTTTATTCAACTAAAATGAAGAATCTCTGGTATAGCTGCCAGGTTTTTTTTAAATTTGCATTGCTTTTCCAGAGTCCACTTACATAATACAACAGAAGTAGTCTAGGATAATAGAGACATTATATCTTTAATTATTTAGAATAAAGATTGTGTGTTCGCGTCAGCATCACATACTAAAATGAGGACCGTTATTCAGAAATACTCCATTTAATGTCTTCTTTTTTGTTTTCTTAGCGTCGTCTTGGAGATGCAGCCAAGAAAGCCATCAGTAAATTGACAACTAGAACGGTGAAAAAGGGTGATAAGGTACAGTAATGAAATTAATTTCCTCTTTGAAATCTTGCTTGTGCTTTGCCTGTCTGGAAAGCCTTCAGCTAGTGTTTCGGCTTTTCTGAACTTCAGGTGCTCTTGCCCTTAGCAGCATCAGTGACTACTCCGTTAGCACTGTTCCTCTGCAGTTTTCAGTTGTTACAGCCAAGCACACATCTGCCGGGGGTTCTAATGAGACAGTTTGCACATAAAATAGCCAAGAGGAGTACATTTTCTTCTGTTTCTTAGGACTGCCGCATCTGTTTTGGGTATTGTTTCTTCTCAGTTAAGACCTGACTGAAGACCTTCATTTCTAGGGAATTTCAGTTAACAAGGGCTTTACAACAGACTGACACTTGTAGAAAGAGCAGTTTATCTGTGTTGGGCCTAAAGTAGACCAGGTCAAAGAGTTGGCAACAAATAGCAGAGCTGAAACCTTTCTTCAAAACTCCCTGGTCAGAGCTCAGGTGCCACATAGCATCTTAGTTTCTACATTCAGTATATCCAGACTTACCAAGAGTTAGAGAGAGAGAGAGAGAGAGAGAGAGAGAGAGAGAGAGAGAGAGCGCTCAAAAGGCCAAAAAAAAAAAATCTTATGGGCATAGCACCTTATGCCCAGTGCTAGTATTTTTAGCAGAGAGCTCTGGAAGGAGGATTTTGTGTGATTCTCTGTTTTCTGTGTTTTCCCGCATCCTTTCTTTTACCAATTTTATTTGTATGCCTGTGAATACTGGAGCCAGTTGTCATCAGCACAGCTGCAGAGGAAGGAACATTCTCACTGGGGTTGCTGCACGCTAAGGAAGGAAAGGGCACTTGCAGAAATGCTTCCTTGGCTTGGCCAGCTGCTATTAATTAGAAAACCCCTGTATTTGATACAACCTACCTATCATCCTCTACCCCTCCCCAGTAATAAATAAATAAATAATCTTTCCTAGAATTATGAAAGCTAGCACACTTTTTGTACACCCTGCACCTGCCAACCATGCTTTAAGAGAGCTCTAAGGGAATCCTTATCAGCCCAGAGGATGAAGGGAGTCAATTAACCTGGTGACCAAACAACTGGTTTGTCTTTTCTGATCCTTGATAAATACTCAATATTGATTTAAACCAGTAACTTCCCCAAGTCTGTGACCAGCGTGCAATTCCCATACTTGAGTTCGGACTGTAGCAAAGGAGTCTACTGAGCACTGCCCATCATTTGTAGCTGTGTTTTAGGAATTGATTGGCTGCATGAACCTGTTAATGAGAATCTCAATGTTTTAGATTGTAACAGTGAAACCTATTGAGACTAGGTAGTAGTAAAGGAATTGGGATAGACACATGGTAATCCAAGGTGATCTGCTGTGAATTGTGGAAAAAACAGGGCTCTGACTTATCTTAAGATATCATAAATAGGAAATAGTATGATTGGCTCATGTAATTTGGGTCAGCCTACTTAAACAAATGAAAAGTTACTATTTTTAATTCCTTTCCTTTTGTAGCCATCTTCTTACTCTAGGGTTTTTCTTAGCTGAGTTGTAGCACCTGCGTGCACACACTCAGCTCCTGTGCTTTTTGTTTCAGGAAACAGACCCAGACTTCGATCACTGTGCAGTCTGCATAGAGAGCTATAAGCAGAATGATGTTGTTCGGGTTCTCCCCTGCAAGTATGTCAGATTTCTGTGTTTGAAAGGAATGGTATTAATGTCTTGTTTGTCTCCCTTCTAGAGTGGGTATCTACTTGGTCCTGAAAACCACCTGACCAATAGTTCTCCTGACAAGCTAAGGCCCAAATGCTGATAATGAGAGAGCATGGTCAACTGTGACCAGTGTCTCTCCCAAGAATTTTTTGCGTATGTATATCAGAAACACGTGACAAACCAGGCGTGGTGGCACATGCCTTCATCCCAGCACTTGGAAGATATAGGCAGGTGGATCTCTGTTCAAGGCCAGCCTAGTCTACAAAGTGAGTTTCAGGACAGCCAGGGATATATAGAGAAACCCTGCAGGTTAAGAGCACTGCCTGTTTGTTCTTCCAGAGGTCCTGAGTTCAATTCCCAGCAAACCACATGGTGGCTCACAATTATCTGTAATGTGATCTGGTGCCCTCTTCTGGCGTGCAGGCACACACACAGGTAGAACACTATATACATATACATAATAAATAATAAAATCTTTAAAAAGAAACACATGACAACATCTAGGTACATCATAACCTAAGAAATTGTATTCAGTGACCCTCCTGGGCTAGGCTGTAGTTCAGTGATAGAACACTGGACTAACATGTACCAGATCATAGGTTTGATCCCTAGTACAGACAAAAAAGAAAAAACACAACAAAACACTCTCCATCTCAAATTAGAGTTCATTGTCAAGCCCTCCACCTTGTCCCCCTGGCTCCAGGTTCTACTGTGCTAAAGCCCTGAGTTATGCAGAATGGGAGGACTGCTGTTTGCTTTGTAACTGCTCAGAGACAGTAAACTACTCTGTGCAGGTTACATGTACTGTCTTTTCTGATCCTGCCAGCAATCCAGAGAGGGCGTTGCTCTCTTATTATGCTGGCTAGTTTGTCATTCCGTAGTAAAGTATCTGCAGAGTCTTGGAAGTTCTCTGTGCAGCACTCAATGGGCCCTGTTGGGTTAGCCTCTGGTGAGCATGATGGTAGCATACATAGAGGGAGTCCGTGTAGAAACAAGAGGACAGGCTAGCCACGCCTGATGCTTTTGTAATAAGCTCATGAGAACCACCAGAAGAGTCCCATAGGACATACCTCATGCCACCAGTACCCTTAGGACCTCCACTAGGTCCCATTCTCCAGAAGTTCTGCCACCTACCAACTGATAACCAAAGTTTTCACCACCATGGACTATGGGAGGGACACTTGGACTACACCCAAACCATAGCACCATTGTCCAGTGAAGGATTGATAGTAAGGCCAGCAGCAGATTCCAAGTTTACACAGTTCATTATGGCAGAGCCAGTAAAGAGTCTGACTTCAGTAATCATCATTCCTTAGATAAGATTTCTAGCTAGCGCCCTCCCTCCCTCCCTCCCTCCCTGGCTCTCTTTTTCCCTCTCTGTCCTTTCCTCTCTTCTGAGGTTTATCCCCAGCATTCTTTTTACTTCGAGACAGGATCTCATTAAGTTGCCCAGACTGACTATGAAATCAGTCTGTAGCCCAGACTGGCCTTGAACTTGCCAAACTCATGTTTCAGTTTCCCATGTAACTAAGCTTACAGGCCTGCACCACCAGACTGGGCCATACAAGTTTCCTTTATAAGCATGTTGATTTTTACTATGTTCTATGCCAAACTAGGGAACATGAAGCACCAAGATACCCTGTTTTGTGTATAAAATGTACAAAGAACCTAAAACCAAAGATTTCTACTTTCTTCTCTCATCTCATGAAAAGATACTCACATGACCCTGCCTTGTGAACTTGTGACTGAATAAAATATTTGTAGGCTGTTGTCCTCCATGAAGCTACTAGTCATATTTTACTTATTCAGAAAGTAACATTTTGTGCCTAGAAAATGCACACAAAATAGATTGCTTTTTTTTTTTTGCTTTTGTTTTTTTGATTTTTAATCTTGGATCTTCAGAAGAATGCTGTATACAGAAATAGAAGTTAAAGATTCTGGAGTCAGCATTCCAATTCTAGGTTACATAAAGAAAGATCTTAACCAAACTCAGTGTGAGCAACCCTGCAGAAAATTATGTACTGGCCATTTTCAGTTATTTAAAATCGAAGTGTATGAGTGAGGCTGAAGGAAGCACATTTATGAAGCAAGTAGGGAGAAGAAAGCAGAGCCATCAAGTGCCTGTTTTGACCAGAAAGAAGCTGAATATTAAATTTCGTTTCTTCCTATCCCCTGCCCAGGAACCGCTGGGCCCAGCTGGTACCTAAACAGAAAGGG